GAGGCCCGAGGTCCTTGGGGCGGCGGAGCCGACTTGTCCGCTGCTACCGGGAAGAGGCCGGAGCTACCCGGTCGCTGCCTCGCGCATGTCTGGAGTCAGCGCCACCCTCCGACGTGGGGAGGCAAAGGCCTGGGCTCCCCGACCACGCCGGTGGTCGCAGTATGGGAGGTGGCACGGCCTGGGTCTCCAGGGCTGGACCGGGCTGCCTCCGAGGGGCTGCGTCCGAATTGCCCAGTTTCTAGCGAGTCTGAGGAGGCTACCGCTCCAGTTGGAGAGTGACCCTGTGGGTGACATTGGCGCCTGGCCTCCCTCCCATCCTTAGGGAGGGGTCGCTGCTAGGAGAGCTGCTGGGAAGGCATTTGGGCCCCTAGCTTGGCTGCGACTCCCCCATGGACCGACTGGGGACACCCCGCCCCAATCTGGCTGGAGGTGGCAGGGGGTGCAGGGACAGAGTGCTCGGCGCCAACAAAGGGGCCTTTCTCTACTGGCTGGGAAGAGGCTGGCTCTTGTTAAGTCAAGGATAGGGTGTTGTTTGGCCGCCACTGTCCCCACCACCGTCCCCGTATCACCCACATGGGGAAGAGACCCCAGCCACCACCCTGCTCCAGGGAGGGGAAAGCAGGCACATGTGCCCCTCCACAGGTCAGCCTTGGTCCATATCTGGCTTTGTTGCTCCCCCTATACTTTCCCAATTTCCAGCTGGGAAGTGGGAGATCCAGGAAGTTGAGGGTCAGAGCCCAGGCGGGGCATGTGGTTGGTCTGGGACAACCAGAGTGGAGCCACCTCCCTCCCGGAGGAGCAGGCTTGGCAATGAGGGGGGCTGGTGGCAAGATCACAAACACCCTCCCTTTTGGAACCCCCGGAGCTACCGTCAGTCCAGGTGGGAAGAAATGGGTGGAGGGGCTGCCCTCTCCTCCAAAGCTCGTCTTCTTGGCAGCCGCCTGGTTGCCAGGGGTTACTGAAACTGGCTCCAGCTGTCTCCATGGCAACTGTTGGCGCTCTGGGCCCCCTCCAGCCTCTCCTGGAGGGAAGGGGGCGGGCTTGACCCAGCAGCCCTGGAGCCCCACCCCCAGGGAGCTTGAGGCCCAGGCTCCTGGACTCCAGGGGATCTGTGCCCCCCTCCTCAATTTCTCCATGCCTCACCACTGCATGACCCCTCTTCCTTCGAGTCCTCCCTGGTGTCCCCCTAGGTCCCTGTGGCTCAGCTCGTGTCTTACCATCTCACTGAACATTCTTTCCTTGCCCTCTCCCCTTTCTCTCTCTGCCCCGTTCCCCCCTCCATCTCTCCACATTTTCATGCTCTCCCCCAGCTACCCACCCCATCTTCCCCACCCCACTTCTCTCTAGTCTACCCCTAAATTCTGCCTCCGAGGTACCTCCCATAGGGATCACTTGGGCCTCCCACCTCCGTTCTGCCAGATGCCCCCATACTCACCTCCAGGCTCTCTTCACAGGTTTATCTCCACAGTCCCCTTCATATCTTCTCTTTAACCCCCCTCCCCCCCTCCCTGTTATATCCCCAGCGCCCTCTGTGACCCCCAACTCCCCTGGGCTGACCTCATTGGTCTCCCTTGTCTTACACTCACATGTCCCCCTCCTTGCCATCAGGGCTTTCCCTCAGGTCTTCCCTCACCCCCCTCCCCACCCTGCACCGGACAGCTGGGCACTAAGTTTAGCCCTTGGCTGGCACACGTGGGCTCTGGTTACGCTCCAGGCGACTGTGGGTACTGGCCCCGGCCCTCCCCAACACCACCCAGCCTGGAGGGCCCCTGAGCCTGGGTTTCCTGGCCCTGGGCCCCTCGCGCTGATGGCCACCCACCTTCTCACCCGTAGCCCCTGGCCAAGCGGTGTCGCCTCCAGCCTAGAGATGCCGCCAAGATGCCTGAGAGCGCCTGGAAGTTTCTCTTCTACCTGGGTGCCTGGAGCTACAGCGCCTACCTGCTCTTCGGCACCGACTACCCCTTCTTTCACGACCCACCCTCTGTGTTCTACGGTAGGGGCCTTGCCAGATGGAGCAGGGTCGGGGAGGGTTCTGCTCTGCACATGGAGAGGGGTACGTGGGGGAGCCAGACACTCATCACACGTCTCATGCTGGATAGCTTCCCCAAGACAAGGCCCCAAGGTAGCCCCAAGACAAGGGTGATCAAAGGGCTTTGGAGACAGGAAAATGTCCTCTTTAGACACTGGTCCTATTAGGGCTCAGGGAGGCACAATGAATGAGGTGAGCCCTTGTGTGGGCCCTGGTGGGCATTCCTGGAACAGCATGTGCAAAGGCCCTGGGGCATGCGTGGGCTTGGTGCACGAGGACAAGAGGAACATAGGAGGAGTTTGAGTTTTCTCCCAAATGAGATGGGTTTGTGAATCATAAAAAGCTTCTGGCTACCATGTGGAGGCAGGAGAGTCTTGGATAAGGAAGAAAGTGGCCCAGTGGGCCTTACGTGGCTTATGTGGCTTTGACCAGCTTGGCAGAGAGACGACGATGGTGTGAAATGGCTGCATCCGTTGATTGGGTCAGATATAAGGGTTGTCAAGGCCTGAGCTTGGTGGGACAGGCAGGAAGGTGACGGCAGTGTCCTTTATTGTCAACAGGCAGCCTGTTACAGAAAACCCTGTGACGGGGCTGTCAGGATTTCTCTGTTCCTGTGCTGACCACCCAGGCTGTGTACCAGGGACACACACGGACATGTTTCTGGCCGTGTGACATAAACAGTTTCAGAAGGCTCCTGGTGGCACCAAGCCCCACGCTCCCATCAGAGGGCTGGGCACAGAGCTGCTGTGTTTCGGTGTCCTGGTGACAAGCCTGTCTTGGTGGGACCATGTCACCCACGTGGCCATTCTTACAAATCCCTAGAGGGCAGGTTTTAGCCGTCATTCAATTTTCCTTTATGTGAATGAACCACAATGGAACTGTCTCAGTTTCAGGCATGGAGTTTTTTCTGGCTCTTTCTTACAAATTATGCTGTGATCACATGCTTGCAGGTTAGCTGCTTATTTGCATGTGCGTTTAGCGGGCGCCTACTGTGTACCGGGCACTGTGCTGACACGGCTGTGAGCACAAAAGCTCCCAGCCTTGATGTCTTGTGGTGCCAGTGAAATGCGAAATCTGTGAACAGCCTGATGAGAAAACTTGGGGGAAAGGGGGGGCGGGGAGGGAGAATTTTCTACAGGGATGAGGACGGCCTCACCAAAAGTGACTTTTGAATGGGGACCTGGAGGTGCCCAGAGCAGATTAGAACTGCACTGGCCACTGCGGGATGGGCACGCTCCTGACAGATCAGAGCAACGAGGAGCCTCCCAAGACAGGGGGTACTTCCCGGAGGGAGCAGGGGGGGG